AACCCTCTGAATCCACGAGCCAGCAAAGCCTAAGGACTGCACTTCAAAATAGTGTGCAAAACACTTCGCGTAGTGCGCTGACGCTTGAGGGCAACCGCATTGTTCAGGAGGTCGATTCACAGGACGTTGGCCCTGTGACCGGGGATGAGATGCAACCCCAAGATCATCAGGAGTGATGTCACTCCCGAAACCGCGCCTCCCCAGGACCTGTTTGAATTCGGAATTCGGAATTCGTCTTTGCTAAATTCGGTTTGAATTTGGAATTGGGAACTTTGTTTTCCCTGGGAATTTGCTTTACTTCGGATTTCGGTGACCTTTCGGGGCCTTTGCAATTGTTGCTATCTGCATGCATGCATGTTGCAAGTCATTCTTAATTTGTAAATCCATGTGTTTTCAGCGCAAGACAGGTCTCTGAGAGGAAGCCTTCGTGGGTACTCGTCACCAGGCCCTACAAATTCCTATCACTACTGTGCTGCATGCGACTCCGTATTTCTGGGCGGTGGATGGCGGCTGCAAGATAGCAAAAGCGGTGAGCCCGTCTCGCCTGCTTTTCTGCTTGACGGTTGGTCTTTGAGGCATGACATACAAGATGGATACCAGTCTGGGACCCGATGTTCATGCTCGCACTTGCCAGTTGGAAGCTGGACTGATACCTCGTTTTGAGCTGTCTCTGGTCTGCCTGGGTTCTGCGATGGTACAGGCAGTGTGACTCCTAGTCGAGTGGCTGCGAATGGTGACATGCAAAAAAAAACAAAAAAAAAGCAGTGGACGAGTTGGGACTACAGCGCGGGGTGAGAAGCACAGTGCAGATGTTTTGTCGACGATTGGCCAACGAACTGGTATCTAGCGCTCCCCTCGGGTGCAGCTGCTTGTACCGTCATGGCCTGAATGAGTTGGTGCAATCGATGCTCTTTTCTGCATGTGCCAATTTGGATCCTGCATGTGCCACGTCACTCCATACTGGTGTGGTAACCATTGGACTTGATGGTGCTGGATGGGGACTAATTCTGAATGATCGATGGACTGTGATCGAGCCAGTTCTGTTTTGGGTAACACCATGCTTGCAGACATGCGTCTCGTTACGACATGCATGTTGCAGGCATAGCTTGAGTGAGGGCCTCGCGACTTTCTGAAACTCGCTTAGTGAGTTTTCGTTCTGTGCTTTCTTAATTGGGTTTGGATAAGTCTACTCGCTGGCAAGACATCGAGTGGCGTCCAAAGGGAGACTAACGAGGGTCTCGAAACCTGGACTGCATGCCTCAGCATATTCGGATTGTACCCTGCAATGCGGGCTCGTCCTAGCAAGGTGGGAGGCAAAAAAGATGCTGAAGGGCGGGTGGAAACGATGCTAACGCCGAGGGCCGTAGATTCCATAGGTCCCATGACCTGAGAACGCTTGGCAGGCATCGTAGGCTCGCAGAGTCTACGTCACGAGAGGAACCATAACGAAGGATTTTCAGTCTTCTTGCTGCTGCGAGGTGCCTCTCGGGACTCATATACGATTGGTTGAGAGTTTAGGGCTCTGTTCACCTCATCGAAAGCTCCGAATCCCAAGACCTGAGACCCTGTTCCCACAACTTCACTCCGAGCCCCCTGTGCCTCGGCCAGGAATTCCATTATGGTGACCGTTGAGTCTTTTCAGGCCACCTCAAAGCCGCAGCTGTTGGCTGTTGATGAGTGCTATTGTTGTTCTTTTTCTGGATATTCTTATGAATACTGTTGTCAGTGTTCTTAATACGATTACCATTATCATTACCGGTATCATTCTTTAGTATTCTCATTCTCATCACGACCATGCGCATGATTCGATAGGAATCCTATCGTTGCCATAATTGTTACTCTTAATTTTTGTGGTTCACTACTGTCAGGATGAAAAGTCAAGCCTGAATCTAGCGAGTTTATGAAGGGAGAGCAAGGAGCCAGGGGTGCGGGTTTCAAAAGTTGACGCATGTCTCTGGAAGGCCGCCAATTTCGCAGGCCCCAACATGCTGGCCTGGCTGGTGCACTCCAAGGACATGCCCAAAAGAAGGTTAAGGGAGCCCTAGGTTGGAGGACGCATCGTCTACCCTCAACACCCGAAACTCGCAGACTCCACCCGTTCAATTTCCCGTAAAGCCTTAAGCCCTGAGGCCCTGGAACACACCTCGAAGCAGTTTGAGATCTCATGATACAGTACTGCATGTCTGCCTTCTCCTGAGAAGAGTTTGCTACAGATTGTGGCCTTTGTGAGGGCCACAGCAGGAGGTCGTTAGGGCCCCGAAGTCTGCAGTTTTCACACCACCGACTCGGGATCGCGTGCCGAGTGCGGAGGATGTGCTCATACCCGGCTATATCTCGAAATGGAGCGCCCCGGCTGTCTAAAGCTTAGAGCCTGATGCTCCAAAAGTGTAGCAGCACCGGACAGATAGGAACAAGCATCCGACTCATTGATGCATGTCGAAGTGCAGGGAACCCAAACCAGGCTGTCAGTTGTAGGCTGCCAGGGCTCGGGTCACCCGTAGGCACAAATGGCGGGATCTATTGCCCATACTACCCTTTCGGGTTTCTTGACATAAGAATGTAGAAGCCCCAAAGCCCATACTCAAGCCCATGCTCTACTGGTTAGGGCCCCTAAAGCACGCTCCCCAGGGCTGACGGCCATGTTGGCCTTCAATCGGCCCATGATGCAGCGCAACATCCTGGCGATCTTCCATGGCCACACCCGATGCCCGGCATGAGAGGGTTTCCTTCGGGTTAAGAGTGTAAAAGGGTTGTCTACAAGAGGGTCTTACTGAATTTGAAAGAAACGACGAGGGTTTGGGGTTTCATTCAACATAGCAGGGCTCTGCTCCGAGAATCACCCGGTGCGGAAGGGGTTGGGTCGTCCTTCTCTGAGTGCAAAGTGGGCTTGTCCTTTTGAGGTGGACGCAAAAAAGCCCTAAACCGTGCAAACCTAGTTTTCCGTCTTTTTTCGAAAAGGGACCCAACGACTGTCAAGCTTGAGAGAAGTAGCGGCAACACCACCCTAAACCCCAAGCCCAGATATGACGACGGCCGAGGCTGAGTGAGTTAAAGTGGCCCAAACTCTGGCAAGCCCTGCAATGAGTGTTTCATGGTTCATGTCAGGCACGAGGCATTCAACAAATTGCAACGGTCCCCCCCGGCCCAGGGCTCCAAGCCCAGACCTAATCCCCAGAACCCTACACCCTCATGCTAAGTAGGAGAGAAAAAAACCCTCCCAACCCCCCCCCCCCAACACCCCCAAATCAGAAAAAGCCCAACCCAAAACCATTAACCCCGAGTGTCAGCGGCCGTCCAGGAAACAGCCCCTCTGTCGGCCACATGTATCAGAGGAGTCCCCTAGCCGAGGCCAGTGGGTCGGCAGACAGGTTCAGGGGTTTAGGGATAGGGTTGATGGGAATAGTAACGCAATTCAGTCTAAGGTTGAGACTTTGGGATACAGCGCTTTTTTTGAAGAGTACGGGCCCAAAAATAACTGACGACACAGTGATGTAGTCTTCAGTACGACGATATAGCAGACATGTGTAAATGTACAGAGAACGGTCTTTAGTATTCCTGTCGTATCACCTATCCTTTTGTCCGTGCAAGCCTAACGGTGAGGATACATTAATGGTTACTTGCTGTCACTGCCACTGCCCTAGCATCCACCCCTCTTCTCTCATCCGTAAGTAGTAGTATTGGTGTGTATTGGTACTTCTATGGCTCTTGCTGCCAATACGTCAACACCTGTGTCATTCTTGCAGTGATTGCTGCCATTGCTGTTGCCGCAGGTGTCTTTTTGAAAGCTCACCCAGTTCATTCTTATTCCTGCACAGTTGCTCTTACCAGTATCAGCGTTTCATGCAAGGTGTCGCTCCATGTGTTCATGTTTACCGTTGGCGCAGTGAACTTATTGAGCTTTAGGATGTGCCAATCGCACCTATGTTTTCCCGAGGTCTACTTATATGGTGCTGAAGGACGTTGAGGTGTTGTTCCAATCTGGTAGGAGGTCAAGGTATGTTGGGCAACGAAAATCGAAGCAGCACCATGTGCTCGGTTCGGCAAACCTCGGGACCGTTGTTGAACAGGCAAAGTTAGATTGCCAGCCGAGCATGACATGTTACTATCGCGAATCGGGCAGTGCCCATCCCCTTACGACTCTCTAATGCGGCAGGTTTGACATCCTTACTCTTCGATGCGGCTCGTTATTTTCGGATTGAGAAGCCCTGCTTCCTGCTCTAGCTGTTCTCCTGGTGGTTCTCCTGGTGACGCACCAGTCTGATTCTGGTGCGTCACTTGTGTCGGCCACTCCGATTGTTGCTGATGACCTCGTGGTGACGATTGAAACCTTGCCTCCAGAATGGAAATCAGTAGTCGCGGGTTTATGGAACTGGGTATGCGAACACGCTCACACACACACACATGTCGACCAATCTATTCGATTCATGAGCTTACATATGCATGTATACAATGCTTTACCACCTTTCGGAAGCGACTTTTTTTCCAAGCTCATCAGATCACATATGCATGTGCGCAGCGTTTGCGCCACTTTTCGGAAACGAAGCCGGCGCTGCGACACATAGGACATGTGCATGTTCGTCCACAGCGTTGGAGCCACCTTTCGGAAGCGAAGTCGGTGGTGCAATATCCAGAGCCGTAGCGAAGCCACTTTGCGCTCGAGTTTTAAGCCTAAGCCCTGAAGCCTGCACACCCTATATTTCCTAGCCAATTTCAACTTCTCAAAGAGAACTCCATGCTGCCTGGCGCAGACGCGTGATCGGGTGGTCGAGTTCTTCGGGAAGCTGAGCTGTTGAAGTCGATTTTTGGGTTTAGGCATTCGGATGTGGTTCAGTCCGTGGTCATCCAGGCTTGGGGGTTCAGGTTTAGGGTTGTTCTTGTCATGTTAGTTCGGCTTGGGGGTTATAGGCTACAGCTCTGCCTGCCTCCAGAGAACCCCAAAACCCTGAACCTTGAGTTTGAAGCAGTTTCGTGGGTCTCTGATCCCGTCGCAGCCAAGGAAGGACTCGCTGAGCAGTGCTGGGCCACCGGTGAAGGACTACTTCAGGCATTCGGAACTGTGAGCCCAACGACTTCAATTCCTTTAAAGTCGCAACCTGAAGCCTGTAGCTACTTCAGGTGTGGTCTGGTGGTTTTAGATCTAGCGAACCATGCTTTGTGCTGTCTCAGATTTCCGACTTGTGGATTCTGGTAAACTTGACGATTTTACATTGAACACCGATTCTATCAAGTGTTCATGTTCGCTGACTCCCCCACCGGCCGAAGCATGATCGTCGCGGCGTTAGAAGAGAGCAGCTGTCCTCTCGTCCATAGAATGCCGTTTTCCAGTCGTTCATACATGTTGTCTGGGCCTGACAGCACGGTCCTGCTAAGCGTCGTCGCCTCCGTATGCACGCACGGAGCGGGCCTGTGAAGATGCTTTGTAAGCCCATCTTGCCACTTGGGAACAGAGAGACAGGCTTGAATGAATGGGGGAGACTGGGTTGACTAAGTTATCCGGGGTGCATTCTGCATGCCATGAAGGTGGATGGTGAGCTGCAGCTACGTCAGTTTGTGGACACTGTGCATGAGCGTGGAACGTTCGAATTGGTGGCAAGTTGCGAAGGCTTGCAGTCATGTTTAGGCAAGTTGGTATTGACCGGCAGTTATGGATAATCTCGCCATCCGACCCTGCACCTAAAGATTACAGGCGCTCTGGCCTAAGCCGCTTCTGCCTCATCCCCGCCGGGCTCACAGCAACCTGGCCGACATCTAACCGAGCTGAGTTTCTGACAACGTGATGTTTGCATGTGGTGTCCGCTACTGCTTCGTCTTCTGTGGGTTGCTGTTTGTGCACTGCTCTGGTGGTGGGTCCGGGGGGCTCGAGGCGGTACCGGTAGTTTTTCTGCATCCTTTCAGGAGGTTGGAGCAGCGAAGGATCGGAGGCAAGGACAGGAAAGCCCAAAAATTAATACTTACTCCCTTCTTCCGATAAGCCTTACACACCAAACCCAGAAACCCTATATCACCTGGTAAAAGCTCAGAAAAACTTTACAAATCCTCGTAGAGAAAAGGATCTGGAACCTTATGTAATGTAGCCTGAACCCTTCTCGGTGCCACGCCTTGTCATAGGTCCGAAGCCAGGCTGGAAGTTGCATGTTGTATTCTACCTAAGCCCACACTTCAATTCGCCACCAGGGTCTGCCATAGTCTGTTGCATCTTGTCTTGTGGTGTTGCATTAACTACCTGGGGTACGTGACACCTGTGCGACACTGCATGGCGTGGGACAGCATGTCATACCGCTGTATCGCGTGCGGCAGCCTGGGTCTTGGACGATCTGTGGTTTCAGTACCCAGCCCAAAAAAGACCCAATGCTGCTCTAAGATAAGTTTTTTGATTTTACTTATTCAGGCATCCTACCTTCACTATGTTGACTGCGCGCCGGCTGACCTCATGGACTGATGTGATAGCAATGCTAGTCCTCTAAATCCTCCACCTTGGTAGACTTCTGCGAGTCGAAACCCTCCAACTGTTCCACGCTCATGCAGGCCATTTCTAAAAGAATATGTACCGAAGGTAAAAACCGTAGGTTTGAGGGGCAAGGCCAACCCTAAAGCCAAGCGTCTGAATCACCCTGAGGCTTGGACCATTCACCTCTATGAGTCCTTCTTCTTCGGATGCATCCCCGTGCTCCTCTCCGACGAGGCCTGGGTTGTTGCAGGCTTTGGATGCATGTGGGGGCTGAAGTCTTGTGGTGTTCGTGGGTTTAACCCGGGCAACTGAGCGACCAGGCATTCTGGCAGAGCACCCTATTCAGGTTGAACTAGAGCCTGGGTACAGGGATCGCAGTCGATGGGGCGGCCGGTACCGTTCTAGCCTTAAGCCAACAACCGAAGAGTCGTGGCATCCCCAAGCTCCAAGCCCCCAAAACCTGCAGAGGTAGCGGGAGGATCAACAGCACGACGGCAGTAGATAAGGGCTGACAGCTTGTGCATGTGTTTTTTTGGTGCTTGGGTGGCGATGGATGTAGCATCTAGACAACGCACCCCAAGAAGACCCACGCCGACAATAAGCAACTTGGAGCCTTGCTTGCTGCGTGCGAGTGTGAGAGTCGAAACCCTGAGCGATGTCAGCTGGCAAAAGCAATCGGTTGCTGGCATTCTTCGGAGAGATGTTGTACTGAGTCTCTGCGATGTAGGCGGGCCATGAGTGCCTGCATTTTCTTCACGTCTGTGACAAAAAGAGCATTGTGTTGATTACAGGGTTGGTATATGGTTTAGGTTCTTACATGTTGTATGCATTCTGAGGCTTTGGATCTTGTTTCGTTCTGGCTTTCCGTCTTGCATTGGTTTCACATTCCATTGTCATGCTGGAATCCGTGCCTGCACTGTGCGCGCGTGCGAATCGAAACCCTAACAGACGGCAAGTTTCACAGATAGGCCGAGTTTTTACCTGGTGAGGCCTTGTGCCCCGTTCTCCCTTTCACCAAATCGACCTATCACATGCCATGTCTCACTTGGGGAGGCTTGAGATTCCTAGGCTTGTCTCGGTAGCCTGGCTTGTCCGAGTGTCAGCGCCGCTCGCCGAAGCCCGGAACCCTAAACCCTGAACCCTGTGGAGCCTTGCCTGCCTTGTGCGAGAGTGAGAGTCGCAACCTTGAAAAAGAACCCAATGCCACTCCAAAATGCGCGGGCGAGCGCGTGAGGTCTCGGTGCCCTTTCAGGACGAAATCGACTGGCCAAGGCTTTCCTTCAAGGCATATCGGGGGTCTAGGGCCCAGGGTCCCTGAAGGGTAGTTCTATAGGGGTTCTATCACGGTTTATTTGGAGTTAGAAGGGGGGTCGGTATGCTTTCAATACGGGGTTTGCAAGATGTTGTTTCTTTTATGCTTCCTTTAAGTTTCTTCGCTTGAGAGAAGCTTCTTGATTGGGCCTGGTTAGGGCCTGGTTCTTAGAAGGGAGTGGGGGAATTGTCCTCCAGGGACGACTAAGGGACCTCTTCAAGGACTATCATAGGGATCCATTCCCCCCTTCCCTACTAAGAACCTGGGAGAAAAGTCAAACCTCCAAGAATATGCAAAGCCGGCTCTGCACACCCAGCTCGAAATTCAAACCTTTTGTTCTGCAAGCTGCACCAACAGGAAAGAATGCCATGTCTGATTGTCTGATTTCTGCATGAGTATGGTAGCTTAAGTTCTTGATCAAGAACCCAGAACTCCGAACTCTGGCAACTCCGGACAAAGGCTTTTGCGTCCTAACACCTGTCCTTCCCAAGCCCCAAACCCCGAGATTCAACTTCCTCTAACCTAACGCCTTACATTTGTTCGAACAGTAGCGTTGTCATTGTCATCGTGCCAGAGACAGCTCTCGGGGACTGTACTCCCTCAAATAGGCCTTATTAGGTCCTGACCCCCCCCCTCCCCCCTCCCCCTCAGGGTCCTTATGATTCAATCGTCTCAGGTCCCGAGTTCTATTGACATGGCGGAGTTGCACACGCGCTTGCGGAGCGTCCGCTTCGGCCAGCTGAAGTCGCCAACCGGGCTGCGGAAGGGAGGTGATTGCCATCGTTTGTATTCTTCATGGTTGTTGTTGCTATGGTTGGCACCAATTGGCATGGCTATGCCTATCTTGAGCAACATCTCTGATTTCTTACAATATATTTCTGTGATTATACGAAAATTTACTTGGCATTGCCAATCTGATTGTCATTGTGGTAGTTGCTCGTGCCATTGGGAGAGAGAATGTTGGGTGCCGGGGCGGGGAGGGGAATGGAGTTGAACCACGTATGTCTATGCACAGATGTGTGTGCCAGTTTCTTCTCTATGTCCAGATCCGGCGGTGCACAAGCCGGATGGAAAGTCTTTGAAACTTCTTTGGGGGAGTAGACATCTGTGGCCTGGGAATTCAAACCCTGGACCTTCCAGAAATTTCCAGATAAAAGATTCTAAGGAATGGTCCAGGGCTTGGGATCTCGATCTAAGAGTTCAGGGTTTAGGATTTGGACTTTGGGGTCTAGGGCACATGGGGAAGGGGTCCCCAAGCCCTAGGCCAGATATCCCAATCCGCAAACCCTAAACTCTGTGTGTAAGATAGGGGCCTTAAAGCATTCCTGTACTATGTTGGGGGTTCCTTATTCTAACAATAGTATAATATACCTCAGTACCCAACTATTCTAAGCATTCAGGCCCCTACAGTACTTTAGTCTTCGCAGTAGCAAAGAGAGGATGTTAAACCCTAAACCCCAAAACCTAAACCTTTTTTCTCACGCCGACCTCGTACCATTGACCTCGCCTGGCATGTCCGAGTTGTGAGAGCGTAAACCCAAAAAGGGCAGGAACACAGCGGCTCTGAGAAGTCTGAGGCAACGCGGAGCCCGCAGATCTCTTTGGTGGGGGAATGTAGGCCCTCCGAATTTTTCTATCGGGACCTCGGGCCCAGACACTTATCTTCTTCCTTAGGCTTCCTAAAATATAATCAGACGACTCTTAGCAGACCCTTCAAAAAAACCCTAATTTGCACTGATGATCAAAGGGCCTTGCGGCAACAGCTCAGCCCACTCTTAAGCCCAAGGCCGGCACAAAGGTTTCGGAAAGACGGGAGCTCCTAAGTTTATCCGGAGGGTTTTTTTATTACACTGGTGTTGCATCGAAGATCGTGTTTCCCTTGGATATCTATTTGAGACCGTCTTCCATAACAAGAACCCGAAAGTGAAGAGGAGCACAGATCGGGTGATCTCAGGATGTACCGCGAGCTCGCAGCGGCGCGCTGCTGGTTCGACTACTCCCGGGGCTGGGGTGCAGAAGGACGCTCCGAGGAGGTGCCGAGGGGTGCAGGACGCGGGCAGGGTCACCTCAAGCCCGCAAAGACAACCCCAAGGAAGGCTTCAAACCCTTAACCCAAAACCACCGAACAAGGCGACCTAACTACCCTGCCATGCGGGCTTGTCCTTGCGAAGTACATGTAGCCGTGTAAATCCCTTACAGACCACGCAAAAAGAGCCCTGACCCAGGGCTGCTCCCCATACCTGGGCCTGATACGCGGCTTGGCGCGGCGTGCAGAGGCCTTGCAACGAGGCCTCTATCAGTCACCAGGCTACAGCTCCAGAGTTTTTCCATAGGTTTTTATTGTTGTTACAGAGGTTTATGAGAATTTTCATATTTTCTTATTGGTTGTTAGTTGTAATTTTAAACGCTTTGCGTCGTCCGCCTCGGCCCGGCTGTACTTGAAGCAGGTGCATAGTTTCGGAAAGCAGCAGGTAGGTCACACAGATGAGGTCTTGCATTTGCTTCAGAATGTGCTGTTAATGTCCGTAATTGTCCATATTTGTTTCACGCTGAGGCTCTGAGCAATAATCCCACGCGAAACATACCCCTTACTGTAAAATAGTATCACACTTCGCACTGGCTTCGTATACAACCTCCTACATGTCGTGCTTATGTCCACATCTTTTGCGGCTTCGTCCTGCCATCTTGAGCCGCTCGGTTTTGGCATCAACTTCACGAACGATGTAAGCTAGCCCGAGGGAAGCCGGGGGCGGGGGGTGGAGGGGGAAGCGTGGCGAACAAGGATTCTCTTGTGGGATCTTCTGGGAAGCTCTGGACGCGCTTCGGCAGGGGCCGAGGCGAGTTGGGGTTTAGGAGGGTTTTGTCGGAGTTCGGGGTTTGTGTCAGAAATCCCGATTACGGTTGTTCAGGCTGTAGGATTGCAAAAAGTTTAGGTTTCGGCAAGCTGAAACTCCTGAAACCCTGTACATAATGCCGGACAGTTTGGTAGAGTGTTGTCTTGCTGCCCACAGCTGCCTGTTCTCCGGATGCTATGACTCAGAATTTCTTCTGAACCCTAGCATAATACCACCTGAAGCTCTAAGACCTGAGGTACACAAGATGGTTGCCACATTAGTCAGTGCGACTACTCCCGCGTTGAATCCAAACCCAGAGTTCGATGTTTTTGTGTAAATATGCCTGAATATGTACTGTGTGCATGCATCGAGGCCTCTGTCCCCTTGCATCCTCTTCTCGGTAAGAGCAAACCACCCCCCAAGAGCCCAAAATCCCACTTGAGAGTCAGCCGAGGCTGCCGCTCTACTGGGTTCCCCCCGAGCCGGAGACTTGAGAACCTGGCGCTTAAGGAGGGAAGGTGCGTCTCAATTTCATGAACTCCGAGATCTCCGAGGGCCTCGAAGACTGCAGTGGAGTCGGGGAGACGGAGTCGCGCAGGAGCGACCTCTACGCCGAGGTCTTCTCGTACCTGTGCTGAGATGCGCTGGAAGAAGCTTCGCTGTCTGGTTCTACCGAGAGAACCCGGAGAAAGCCGAGGATGTTGCTGCGTCAGGGCAACAGGCATGTTTCAGAGATGCAAGATCACGAGAAGATGCGGAGGCGGGGCTGGAGCTGGAAGCAGATGCGGTCGTTTGCTGCTGCGAAAAGGGTGTGATCAGTTGAGATGAGACGGGGTGAGCCTCGAAGTCCCGCTTAATTATATAGCAGTTTAGGTTTCAGGGCTTCGGCAGGAGCATTCCGCTATGCCGTCAGCAAACCCCGAGGATGAAGAGAGGCAAGCTTGGGAGAGGTTGGCAATAAACGCTAAGCGCGAAACCGTAAACCCTAAACCCGAAAGCTCGGACCTCCTGAAGCTATGCCTGCCTGCATGCGAGCGTGTGAGTCGAAACCCTAAACCCAGATTCACTTGCTCGGTGCGAGTGTGAGAGTCGAAACCCAGATTCAAGCGATCTCAGGTTGGCTTCTCCGACTACTTACGGTTCCCGGCTGTGCAGTACTTTGACTCCATACCGCATCTGTCTCTTGGGCTGATTGTCATGTCCGCATACTAGTTTTCAAGAGGAGAACGACGGTTGAGGGTGTCTGTTCCATCATGTCTCTCAAGCCTCTATCGGGACCTAAGGATTCAAAGCTGCGCAGCCCGATCACAAAAGAAGCACTCGGCTCAAAACGGGTTCAGCCAAAGCCTTCGCCCGAAGCCCTTAAGCCTTTTTGCCCGAACAGTTTCGCCTGCAGAGTCCGAGTTGCGAGAGTCCAAACCTAAACCCTTGAAATCGCAGCAGACAAACTTGTGGCCTAAGCCCTGAAGCCTCATATTCCTAGCACACAAACTGTAAGCCTTCTTCTTCCAAACCCTTAGCCTTAAGTGACCCTTTACTGAGCATTCAAACCCCAAGACGAAAAAAAAACACACACACACATAAGGCCCTAAACCCTTAACGCGAACTCCCGGAGCTTCCAGACAGGTTGCGCCAACTGCCAACCCTGGATTTCTTCGAGGCAAGGTTCCGAACATCATCTTCACCTGCGAGAGCCGTATACTGGGTTCTGTTAAAAAGGAAAAGAATGGGTTAACTTCAAGTTGGGTTTTGTGTAGAGCTCTGTAAGGGTTGTATAGGGCTTGACAGGGGTTTGAGGGTTCTTGTCAAAGGAGTTTATGCGAGTTACCACGGCAAGGGCAGCGCCTCACCTGCTAGAAGTCATGTGAGTATCCCTTGTCATGGAAACTGAAACGAGACTCCTTGCCAAGAGAGAGACTGAACTACTGTTCTGGGCTAGAGTGTCAGACTTGGGGGTCGGTCGACATAAGCATGCCCTGGCCCTGAACTCGTAAACTCCCAAAACACCCCCATAACCTACACCCAAAGCCCTGAAACCCCAAACCCTATTCCGACCCTGCAATGGGGGCTTGTCCTGGCTAGGTGGGAGGCAGAAACTCACACCCGACTCCTGAACTCTTATCAGGCCCCTCATCACGGCCCTTCTAGAGCCCTTCCCGACCGCTGATTAACCCTATAATAGGCCCTATAAACCCTGAAACCCCTCAACCACCGCCGCAAAAAAACCAGAGACACAAGCCCGCTAAACCCGCAACCCTCAAACCCCTACAACCCCCACCCCCACAAAGACCCAAGGTTTGAGGCTGAACCCTCGAGCCTCAGGTGGTCCAAGCCATGGTCAGGTTCAACCGGGACTCCATGGCGCCTGGGCATTGAAGCCATGATCCGGACCAGAGGGTCGTCGGAAGCCGTAATTTGTGTTCTTGAAGCATTCTGAGAAGGATTCCTCATGAGGGTTCTAGGGCTGTTGGCAAAGGAAGGCCTCAAGAAGCAAAAATCGTATTGAGTAGGACATTTGGGGCTTATATGGGCTTATTTCAGACTGTTTTTTACAGATCAGTTAACTCAGGCACAAGGGGATATTCTTACAAACCAAGCTTGTTGCAAGCTCACTCCCCAAACGGATGATGCAGTTTGGCTTTTGGGGTTTCATAAGGTTTTGCGAGAAAAGTGGGCCCGGGCTTTGAAGCGGACTAGAACCTAAACCCTCAAGCAGATACAAGCAACAAAACCCTAAAGTTCCTGAAGCGGAGATCGGTAAACATGAGGCGAAGGTATGGAGACAAAGGATAGTGAGGTCGTCCTGGCGGTAATTCACAGGCTAGCAGCGTGCTTCCCTTCCCCTAAGTTAGACGCTCTGAATGACAGTGCACCCCAAACGCCAAACCCTACATCCTGAGCCCCAAACCCGGAATAGTGTTGTGCTGGAGCCTGGTTGAAGTGACACCCGTGCCAGTAATATGATACTCGGACCCGCATCCTCCAAGAAACGAGCCTCTGACTTTGAGAAGCCAATGTCTGCTTGCATGTCTTGTGTGCTTAGCTTAATCTTACGACGCCGCGCTCTGCCGACGTTGTGGCTCATCAGGTGCTCTTGGGAGTTTGCGGGTGTGCCAGATTCTTTTGTGATTGTCACGCAGCCTTCGTGGCTTCGCTTCTTGCTTCCGCTTTTGAGTGCACCCGGCTCCCCGTGGCGCCACTGTAATTCTAACCTGGTCTTCCGTTTCTGCATTGAATTTTTCAGGGCACCCTCTCGGGTGTGCCCGCATAGGCTCCCAGACGTCGGGAGCTGTCTGTTTAAAGATCACAGACCAGCTTCCGGCCTAATTCCCGCTGGGAAGTGGCCGCTCGGCAGATGATTGTTGAGTTATTTGTTCCCGGTTCATGGTGTCTAAACCAACCCTAAAGCCCATACGCGGAACCCCAAATCAGACGCCCAGCAATCGTGCAGGCACCAAAAC